ATCCGGATTAACAGAACTCGGGGCGCTACAGATATTCTCTACATATCCAGCTGCATGTACTCTTTTGTTTAAAGGTCGCTAGGAAAGTTCAAGCTCCTTGCCTCAAATGGAACTTGCATAATAAACTGGTATTCAAGTTACTTTCACACGACATAGGCCATCAATATGATTTAGGGTAGGGGTGTCAATATTGGTGAGCTGACCTGGACACATAGATCCATCTTATGTCTTTATTGGGCCTAAATCAGCCCATCTAAAAGTATGGGTTGGGCCTAGCCCGAATAATCTTCCAAAATTGAGATTGGACTGACGTAGGAACCTGCCAATATTGCAGACTTCCCATTCCGATCCATTATTTTTAATCTATAATTGAAAAATCTAAATATTCTTAACGTAGTTGCAAACAAGAAGCATTTTGTAACAGTTCAATAAATCAAGCCCGCCGGACCGGTCCTCATGGGTTTTTGGGTTGAAAAATCTAACCCAACACAACCAGTCATAATTGGCAGACCACCCCGTGAACGGGCTGAATGCAGATGGAAGATGGATAAGAGTAACGCTATTTATTTAGCCTCGTTGAAGTTATAAACCAAATCTACGTGGTGTTAGATGATAGACCAAATGAAAGGTGGAATTTTAATTTCACTTATCATTTAATATCACATTAACGTCACATAGATTTGGGTTATAACCCCTATGAGACTGAATATCATTACTCTAATAAAAAACATGGAAGTCAAGATATTCCGAAAACAGATATAATTCGAAGAGTGTGCCCTGGTAACTTCTTAGTTATGAAATCAAAATTACAAATGAATGAATGGAAAAAATGGGGGAGGGGTCTTCAAATTTAAAATTATAAGTTACAAGTAATTGATTATTACCTGCACATTAACAAGACTACACTACATATTGAAGTGCATAAGTTTCGGTGCAATCCTCAATAATCTATGCAAAGCATCGGGCGTGAATTTCCTTGCAAACAAGAAACAAACACTGGTTTTCTTCCCATTGTACTCACATTTGCTCCCATTTCTCAACTTCTCCAAAAACTCTGGAGTAACGTGTGTTCTTACAAACTTTGCCGGGTGGGGCCCGCCTTTCGACCAGTCGACCCAAGTCAAACTTCTATTGGAATTCCTCTGCCCAAATCTCATACTTACAATTGTTGGCAAATAATGTTCATCAGCATAACAAGAACCCTTGCAATAATTTTGATATACAGGAAAATATTTTCTGTCTGAGACGACTTCAATTGCAAGATCTCTATCTATCTCAAACCATTGGGAGCCTTTTCTCCATTGTTGGAGTTTGATCATTGGGTTCATTTGACTTTTGTACCTGCCTCGTCCTACCGGACCCGGTAGATCATATGCCTCGACAAAATTCTGGGTAGAATTCATTAGGTATGAGTAGATGGTAGAAAAGTTATACAGGGGAATGCATGCTTCGGAGAGGAGAACAAAACGTCGGTTCGAGAAGTCAAGAAGAGCATTGGCAAGTAGTCTACGTTCGGCTTCAATCATGTTAGCTTGCCCCCATTCAACTTTCTGCATTGTTCAGAGAGAATTATGTTAGTCGAAGTTTTACAATGAGATAACATGTTGGAGTAATATGCCAATTAAGGCTCTAAGAGCACACATATTCAAATGCTCACACACTGAATTAAGGTTTTTCAAGACATAATAAAGAGTGAAAACGAGCAATTAAATTAAATATAACGTCGTCGTGAAAAGGGACGGCTTGTTAAGTCCTAACTTAGAGAGGAATAATTACTGGTATAAGTAGTTAAGCATACAGTATCTAGAGTTGGCCTTTTCTTGTTTGTTCATCTGTTCCTTTAGCATCCAGTGAGAATCATTCATGCTGGAAAACTAAAACATGTGATGCCAGAAGGTTTACATTAATAGTTGGTAGAACAGGAATTTTTGCCTAGATTTTTATAGTAAAGAGGGCCTTGCTTTAGTTGGCTATTGTAACTTGTGCCTCAATAAAACACACAAGGGTTCTACCAGAAAAACCCGTGTTTAATTTCCAATTTCATCGGTGAAATGTTTCCACGAAGGCATGAAAATCGATATTGCTAACTTCTGGTATAAAATCGTATAGTTCCCATTGCGTATGATTCATGCTTTTAGCCTTCTACATATGGGCTATATTGGCCGGCTAGTCCAAGCTACAAACAGGATGGCAAAATTCTGTAATGTACAGTTATCAGAATTAATTAATGTTTAATCAATTGCTGCATGGATTAAACTAACCTTACTAGGGATTCTTCTGCCATGGAAGACAGAAGATTCAGGTTCAGATTCATTGAAAGAAGGGTCTGAATGCACATAGATTGAGTAGAGTCCTTCATTTCCTTCGAAGAACTTCTCCCAAAGAGGCGATAATAGAACCGGCCCTCTTGTCAAGAACATGAAGGCAATTTTCGAGTTGTAAGGAAAAGGAAATTCTTGAATTCTAGGAGTCATCGAGGCTCTCCATAGCAATTCTTCGTCAGTCATGTTATGCGCAACGTTATAAGGCTGTTCTAGATATTCTTTCGACCCAACATGGCTTGTATTTGAAGTAATCTTATCAGTGGGTAATGGCAATGTTGATTGTGAAGTAAAAATGGAGAATTGTCCATTGGTGAGTTGGAGATTGAATGAGAAGCTTTTGTAATGAAAACAAAGGATTATACCGAAAGTTAAGCCGCAGACAGAGAAGAAAAACCAAGAAAGGAGATTAACTAGGGGCAATCGGCCATTAATGTGCTTGACAGCAGCAGCAAAAGGATTTTGGTTCTGGTTCTGGTTCTGGTTCTGGTTCTTCATTGCGCAGTCTAGAGAGGCGGTGCTTTGTGGTCGTGGTGAGAGGTGGAGGGAGGAAGAATCTATGGTTTCTTCTGATATAGGAATATCTTATATCTATATACACTTTCACATTATAAATTACAAATGAATGGAAAATTTATAGAAATTTAGTTATTTTCAAGACAAGTAAAAGTATATTTAAAGAAGGTGAAACAGGGGAAGAATATTCAAAAAATGAGTATGGAAGTTGGGAAGGAAAGAACTATTCGCCCCGTTGAATTCAGAGACAACACCACCTTTTTATCAACCTCAAATTGATTTATGTAGGTGGCTTTCTTGACCATGGAATAAGACTAATCTACAGAGCGTTTGAATGCGAGACGCGTATAAGTGCATTATGCATATTGAAAAGTCTTTATGTAAGATCGACAATTTCCATAAATTCGGTAATGACAGATATAGAAAAAAAAAATCTGTCCTTATATACACGAAAATGTGATTGCTGCAAAAATCATTATTTTAGGGATCGTTTGATTTGTGTTTCAATTTTTAGCTCTGAATTCATTTTCAATTTTCAGTTTCGAGTGTTTATTTTAAGATTGCTAAAACGTGTTTTGTTTGTCATTTTGAAAAACTATTTCTCAAAACTAGAAAATATGTTTTGTTTGAAATTTTTTTAAAAATATTTTATGACATTTTATTTCATTAAATTTGATTAGTTAATAATATAAAATAATTTTATGTTAATATATTATCAAGTAATATATACATTTTAAAGTTGGTAAATTCTATAATATTTTTTCCCGCTGCAAAAGTAAAACAAAAAAATAATAATAATAAATTGAGTAGGTAAAACAAAGAAAAAAAACTAATGATNATTTTAAAGTTGGTAAATCTTATAATATTTTTTCTAATTACAAAAATAAAAAATAATAATAAATGGAGTATGCAAAATATAGAAATAAAAATGAAATTATTGACATGAACTAATAATAATTATCCGTGTTCATTTAAATATATATTTTTAATTTTTTTTAATCTAAACAATATTGAACTATTTTTATTTTTTTTAGAATTAATCTTTTTAGAATTTTAGATTCTATTTTTCAAAATTTATTTTTTCAATTTTATTTTTGAATTTAATTTTTTAGGATTTTACATTTTTTTCTTTTTTGAGAATTTTTAATTTTTAGAATTTTATTTACATTCTTGTTTTCTATGTTTAGAGTGTTTTTAAAATTTTCATTGAAAACACCAAAAATATATTTTGAGTTCTATGTTATAAATTTAACATTACTTTCGAAGACGTATTTTCAATAATACTAGACAAAATAAATTTTAGATGTTTTACAAAACTAAAAATAGCAAACCAAATTCACCCATTTCCGAAAATTCGTTGAAAAAACCCTTGTTTGTTTCCAATTTTTTAATATTCATTTTTTCCAAAATTTATTTTCACTCACATATTTTATGGAACTATAACTATTATCAACTTTTCAATCACACATTTTATCAATTTTTATAATATCTATTAGGTTAAATATATTCACACAACTGTTTTTGTTAACTACACCATATTTTAATTACAATAAATATTCCTAAACATTTTTATTTTTATACTTATATCCTCAACTTTTAAAAAAAATTATCATCAATCTCTATCAATTTCACATATTATTTATAAAGATAATCTTCGTCCAAAATATTTGTTATGAGGGCCAAAAGACATTTATCTCTCGTATTTTTAATACGAAAGTTTAACAAAATATCTGCCCATCTTTTCAATGCACATTGGTTAAATATTTGGATGAAAATCATGATTATAGACAACATACGTTAATTAATTGAATGTTAAGAATAACAATGTGACGAGAAAAAGATGAGGATATAATAGCAAAAGTGAGCAAATATTGAAAACATTTTTTGTAATTAAAATGGGGTGCAAAAATCTAATTTTTGGCCAAACCGAACTGGTGCAAAATGACATTCTTGGACTTAATTTCTATAGTACATAAAGGAATTAAGTCCTTGTTTGATTTAGTTCAATAAAATGACAATCGTTACCATATTTCAATATAGAAGAAAATAAAAAAAAATTGCATCCTAAATTTCCAATAACAAGCATCATTGGGGAGTTGGGATTTTATCATAGATGCGAAATGAAAGAACCAAGGACACGCCTGGAAAATGCGAAAAACAAGTTTTGGATGAGTGGGGAGAGACGTAGGCGGTGGAAAATGCAAGGGGAAAAAGAGACACGGGAGAAGAAGAGAAATCCAAAGGACGACGTGGGAAAAAATGAGAGAGAGCAAGGAGGAGTGAGTTGCTAGTAGGATCATAATGTAAAAAATAATAATATTTAGTATCATTAATGTTATAACACCAGTTCATGAAGTATTATGTGATAGGTACAATGAAAGTTGAAATTAAGTGACTCGTTTCATTGTACTTCTCATTTAATAATACGTTAGTACCATCAATGATTTTTTTACATCAATTGTGCTAAACAACATTATTTAATGTAAAATACACAAAATTGTGCAAGTCAAGTGCATTTTGACGATTAATCATCTTCAACAAACTTAGATATTTTTGAAAATTCAAGGATGACCTTTTCAAAAACTTGACCAAAAATCAACTTTCGAAAATCTATTAGGTGAGGTCCGTGAGGAGTGCTAAAGGGTGCATATTTCCAATGGAAAATTTTATTTGTGTTTATTGGCTTGTCCCATCGTCCAATGGAAAATTCAAGGCATGTTTTTTGTGTATCGTGGGAAGAGATTGCTTGGACTCATTTGTACACCATATGTCGTGAGTTGTGGGACAAATAAGTACATGTCTCAAGAGTCCATCTCGATTAAGTGATTATGAAAACTAGAGAACAATTTTTTGAACAAAATTAAACTATATGATCAAATAAATATGTTACATTAAAGTACTGCAAGATATATGTCGACCTCAAGAAAAGTGCCAACAGAATCCAGGCCACCAACCCTTCACGTATACGTTACCTACACACTGAAACATTTCGTCAGGAAGCATAAGCAGTCGGTCGAGAAAAAAGTTCGATCATCATGTGCACTCAAACGGTCAAGTTAACGGTCGGACGTAAAAGAAATAAGTGCAAGGAACATGAGAGAGGATTTGGTTGGGGTTAGAAAACATACCTTAATTATAAAATGATAACACATATCTAGAAGTGAATAGATCAAGTGGATTTAGTGTAATGAGCCTAAGTTTGAGACAAAGTTGCACGAGATTGCTTAATTTAATATATCCAATTCAGTTAAATAATCGATATCGTGTCGATTAAAGTAGGAGCTCATCCGTCCCGCGCATGCCACGTAATTTATATATATAACAATATATTTAAAAATTAATCTATAAATACACAAATAATTTAATTGTCAACTTTCAAAATCCCTTGTATAATTGAAATCTTGAGTATATAACTGAGGAAGCTCGTACGTGTCAAAAGTCAAGAAAACATCAGAGTACTTTATTTTATTATTAGTGCAAAATACTGAAAGATATATTTAAAAACTAATCTATAAATACACGTACGAGCTTTATTTGGTATCTATGGCACGTCATAGTGGCTGTCCACTTTCTTTAGAGTGAACTATTTGGATATTTAATCGAACAAGAAAACATATTTAAGTCACCGTTTCAATAAAGGATTTTTTTTTCTTAGCTTATAAATTTGTCAAACTTTTTTGTTCACTTTTTAATCATGAAATTCACCGATTTATAATTTTGAAAAGCTTTGATAAACTAGCACCATTAACCCTTGTACGTACTATTTGGATATGAAAATGCCGATTGTATACTCTTTTCTTGACATTATGGTTGACACTGGCAGTATTGGCAAATGTTGATTGAGTGGAAAAATTATGAACTGGCCAATGACGTAGTAAAATGTAAAAAATGATGTAAAAGACAATGTACATGTATCACAATTGATTTGGATATGTAAGTGAAAAAATAAACATACTAAACTTGCAACGGTAACAGTCTATGAGATGTAAATGTAATTAAATAAATTGACGTATCTCACTGATTTAGCTACCGAAAAAAGGGTGATAAATCATAGCATGCAAGTTCGTAACCTGTCTTAAAAGTCAATTAACTTGATATTCAAGAGTATTGAAGATGCACTTTGAATAAATTTATATTTTATTTTTCTAAATAAAACTTTAATTTAGTAAAATGTATAAATAAACAAATATTTCATGTTCATATTATAACACGTCACATTATACATATCATAATTTGAATAGAATAGGAAGGTGGAACTTCTTTATCAATCAAGTTGTGCCCCAAATTGGAATTTTTTTTATAAAATGATTTTACAATTATATAGTTTATTTGGTAAAGCAAAACGCTAATCATAGTAAAAGAAAGTATTGACCATAGAGAGTGATGAATGATTGTTTTCCCTCAGTTTAAAAAAGGTTGGTATGAAGTCTATTTCTTGTTATGTAAAAATAAAATAAAATTTATAGTCATCGTATGCAAGGATGTGTATCAAGTGGTATCACAAAACACTTTTTTCATATGTTATACAAGCCAAGGGTGGACTTAATCAAGTCCTTTGTCCTAGGTTGACCTTTTTCTTAATTTTTCCTATTTGATATTAAAAAAGCTTAATATTTGCTTATGATTTTACGATTTCGTTTTATGAATAAAATATTTTGAGTATTTTACCATCAGATCAAGTAAATGTTGTGAAAATTGTCCCTGTCGTCCATTTTCTTCATTAAAATCTTGTAAAATGATGAATTTATATTTTTCATTAGATAAATGAAAAGAAAAGAAAGAAAATGAAAAAAAATACAAAATAATTGTAATCAAAGTCCCGAATTTTTCAAAAACTAGAATTACATCCACTTAACATAATTTAAAATGTATTAACAAAAAAAAAAAAAAAAAGAGGTTCCACAACCGACCCACCTATCCCCATTCCCCACCCTCACTTTGAAGTGAAAATTGTCGAAGAAGAACAATAATAAGAAATAAAC